CTCGGGCTTTCTTAAGTGTGGTTAATTCGGACAGGGTTTCTCTTTGGTTTCTGGTGAGGTTGGGAGGAAGAGAACGTGACTTGTGTTTATTGATTACTTTCTTTACTTCGTGTTTCAAGTGTTGTAGTGACGATTCTAGATGTTGAAATTTTGTGTCTGGTGCTTTGCAGTATTTGTCGAAGGGGCAATGTTCAATAGTTTGTTCTATAGTATGGGTTGAGGAATTCTGCGTAGCCGTGGGTTGCTCATTTTCTGCGGTTGTTTGTTCCAGATGTATTTCTTTCCATCGTAGTCGATATGCGAGTTTAGCCAAAAGAAGAAGAGCCTGAAGATGGAGTAAATCTCCGAAACGTCGTTTGTTAATGAAATAAACATTTAAAAAAAGTCTTACTGTGGTCTATATATTGAACACAAAATATACTATTAACATGAGACTTAGGGAAAGTTCGTTCCTAAACATTTTGAAGAATCTCAGGTTGGACCAACCTTCATTTCGAACTGCAAGAGATTACGCCGCTTTGAATATGAACTATGTCGTGAAGATCCAAGACATACATTTTTTAACCCGCTGCAAGAAAACCAAGATCGTTCCGAATTTTATAAGCAACACAATCCAGTTATCTTCAAATCTATTAAAGAACAAATCGATAGCGCGACACAGTAACAATTTAACATTTTCAATTCTCAACGACGCCATCCGTAAACACCATAAGGAGCTGAAATTTCTGAAAAATGAAATTGTGCAAAAGAAAATCGAAATGAGTGAACTAAGTATTGAAGATAGAAGTAAGATCGACCATCACTTAACTGAATGTCTCGTAAAACTAAAGAAAGAAAAGAAAATAAAACTGGTACGTAAGTTTGAATCTTTGTCATGCAACAATCACAAAGCGCCGAATGCTTCTGAAATAACTTCGCAGTTGTCAACTGATAACAACTTAGAGTCATGTCCAAGAGTTACAGTATTAACATCAACATCTGATCTACCTAACGGTACAGCAAACTTATTAGATTTGGGACCGCAATTCGTTCCTTCAATAAAAACCATTAACAAACGAACAGAGTTTGACGTTAATGTCCAATTGGCTAAACTGGCATATCGACTACGATGGAAAGAAATACATCTGGAACAAACAACCGCAGAAAATGAGCAACCCACGGCTACGCAGAATTCCTCAACCCATACTATAGAACAAACTATTGAACATTGCCCCTTCGACAAATACTGCAAAGCACCAGACACAAAATTTCAACATCTAGAATCGTCACTACAACACTTGAAACACGAAGTAAAGAAAGTAATCAATAAACACAAGTCACGTTCTCTTCCTCCCAACCTCACCAGAAACCAAAGAGAAACCCTGTCCGAATTGACCACACTTAAGAAAGCCCGAGAAGTTAGAATATCGGTGAGCGATAAAGGTGGCGAATTCGTGGTAATGAACAGTAATCTAGATAACACATTAATGGAGAAACACCTTGGAAATGAATCACTTTACCGACCATGCCATGATTTAACGAAGAAAGCTGAAGAGGAGATCAACGAAATTTGGGAATACGTTGCAAAAAAGAATCGTGTTAACGAAAGATCCATTGGAAGATTAAAAACGACCCACAGTGTTTGTCCTGTTATCTACCTGCTAACCAAAACTCACAAATTCCAGAACAATATACCGAGTTCTAACCCTGATGACATCAAAGTACGACCAATAATCTCTGGTTGTGGTGGTCCTGCCGATAAGGTCTCCTGGCTCATACAAATGATATGCAACCCTCTCCTGCAATTCGTGAAAGCACATCTTAGAAGCACTCAACACCTATTGAATAATCTACGAAGCATTAAGAATGGAGAGCTGAAGAACAAGCTCCTGTTCAGTCTAGATGTGGTTTCCTTGTATCCAAGCGTCGATAACGACGCAGCAATTGATACCTTACGTTTATATCTAGAGAAAGAAAAGAACAATATCCAACTTTATCAATTTTCGGTATCTGATATCATTCTACTCACCAAAGCTATCTTCGAAAAGAACTGTCTCTCTTGGAAACGATCTTATTATCAACAGCGTCGAGGTCTGGCTATGGGAAACCGGTTAGCCCCAATACTCGCTATACTCTTCATGGACAGAATAGAAAACCAAGCAATCTATTCCGACCAGGCTCTTTCCCTTTCCTTGTATTATCGATATATTGATGATTGTATTACACCTGCTAGCGGTCCAGATGAAGCTGTAAAGATCCAAGACAAGCTTAACTCACAAGACCCATCAATACGATTCGAAATCGAGTTGCCAGGTGAAGATGGATTCCTCCCATTCCTCAACACAAAAGTCAAGGTGAACGAATCTGGAACAGTGGAGACGGGATGGCATACAAAATCGGCAAACAAAGGAATAATGTTGAATGCAAAATCACACCACCCAGAACAAATCAAACGGGCCGCTATCGGTAACACCATCAAGACATATACTTCCATATGTTCAACCGACGCCTTGTTTGAAGAAGCTGAACGGAAGTTTGAAAGAAGAGCGAGACGAAACGGCTATAGCAACAACTATATAAAAAAAGTCCAGACAACAAAACGAAAACTGCCAAAATCGAAAGTTGAACCTCTTCCCACATTCACAATTCCATTCATTTCCAGAAGCTTTACGACTGACATCCGAAGAGCGGTCCAGAGTTCAAACCTCAATGTCAGAATAGTTGAAAGACCACAAAGCTCGCTTAAACAACTCCTCGTAGAATCGCGACCTTACGATAAAGTATGCAGAGACACCTCTAAATGCCCAATCTGCAGCAACTCAAATGCTCCCATTCAGTGTACACAGAAAGATGTCGTGTATCAAATCAACTGTGACCTTTGTGGAGCAACGTACGTAGGCGAGACAGGCAGACCATTGGTGGTTCGATACCAAGAACATTTTCGTTCCGCAGCAAACCCGAAAGCAAAGTCCTATAAAAACATGGCTTTCTCGAAACACCACCTCGACCAACATTATGGACAAAAACCTAAACTGTCTGTTAAGATTTTAAAAAGAACAAAAGGATCTGTAGAACGGAAAATTACCGAAGCATTTATTCATCCAAAAGCTTAATTCCAGACTTGAATGGAAAATACGAACAGTTAAATGTCTTAGATTTCGTAGTTTAAACATTAAAGACAGAATTAACAATTTCTAATTTTTATTAGAATTAATCGGACACGTGCACGTAATTTATATGCTTACGCAATTTCGCACGCGCGAATAACGGTCGCAATTTTAACGTTTATGCATGCGCATGTTAGTTTAAATTCAAATTGTAATCCTACCTGAAGATGGAGTAAATCTCCGAAACGTCGTTTGTTAATGAAATAAACATTTAAAAAAGTCTTACTGTGGTCTATATATTGAACACAATTATATTACAATAAACTGTATATATTACAATAAACTATCAGGCTTTTGAATATCAATAACATTACATATATTATTAGTAACACCTAGCTGGCCACTAGGTTCCTTTCTAAACAACAGATACCTGTAGTACTGTAAGAGCCAGTGTTTTAAACTGCTAAATGTTTTAATTTGCTTGCAATATTACTACAACTTTGTTTGTTAAACTTTGTCCTGCCAATTATATGAAGAGAAACAAATTCTCAAATATTTCATATCTAGAATGGTTGGTGTAATTCTATTAAAAATTACGGTCAGAAATAAATTTTCCATTGAATCTGTTTAGAACCATTGATTCAATCCTTTTAGAACCATTGGTTCCAATTTCTGTAACAATAATTGTAGATATATAATCATTTAAAACGTTTTTCCTTCACTGATAAATTAACAGAGTGTTTTTTTATTAACCTACAGGAAAAGTGTATTGCTCATCAATTTTCTGACATTAAACATGAGATTGAATCAAATAGTATGAGTATATTCTACTATATATCTGATAAATCTAATGTATATACAGGGACGCCGGAAATGGGGGAGCAGGAGGGGCAGCCGCCCCGGTTGCCCTTTACCAAGAGGGGCAAAGGTGCCCTTCAATTTAAAGAATTGCCTTGGCGAAATAGCGAATTGTCAAAAATTTTAGTGCGATTCTTTTACGAATTTGCTTCAGAAAACGCAAGAAATGCAGTCATCGGGCTTCAAGGATAGCACAATCGCCTGGTGGAGAACCCCCTCACACCCCTATCATCCAATAAATAGAAAACATGATTAGGCGAAGTTCAACTCCCGATGTTTTGCAAACATCTCTCAGTATATATCAATTCAAAAGTGCCCTTTAACAAAAATCTGCCCCCTTGCCTTCACATTGTTCCGGCGTCCCTGTGTATATAATTATAATAAATTCTCCCAAGCCCCCCCCCCCCCAGCCACGAATAGGCCTCTGACTGCATACAGTATGTGAAATGCACTCTGATGCACCCTAATTCAGAATTTTACTTGTGTCTAATTAATGCCAGACAAGCATACTGAAGCATTCTTTCTCACGTCATTGATTTTTGTAATGGGTCACTCCAGAAAACATCCATACCACCTCCACAGAGGAAATAGGAAGCTAACCCCCCTACCCCCTTCGTATGATCCGTTCCCTGATCAACTCAAGGCAGCACATTTTATTTTAAGGAGGTTCTTTTAATATGTTCCAGGTAGGAAAACAGTAGAAAAGTTTGGTGATCCCAAAAAGGCGTCAATTTCCACTAACAATGTTGATTCTTATGCAAGTTGGAAAAGGAAAGTTCTGGCCACTTTCAACCGAAAATAGTGTATGGAATAATGAATGAATTAGATGTTAATGAGTCTGATGATGAAAATATTGGAAGTGAATCAGATTAAAAGACAAAACCTTTACTGTACACACATCCCACTCGTATTTCAATGTAGCAATAATTTTTTACAGTTGTGAAGGGTTGTTTTGTGGTAAATCATGGATAATAAAATAAATTTATTTTATTATCCGTGGTTAAATAGAGCATGTACATGTAATTTAACTTGAATTAATCTGCTATGACTATGTATGGACTCTCCATAATTATTATTTTTTTTTACTCTGAGTGGATATCCTCACCGGACAGGCTGAAAAGTTTGCATGGTCATGCGGTGGGACAACTACCTTGTCCAATGTTCTGCCAACTGAGCTACAAGGCCAAGTCTGTTCAAGTGTTTGGTATTTCAGAACTAAGTCTAGTACCTTCAATACCAATGTGTTTTCAGAGCAGATCAAGAAACATTAAATTATTTTCACCTGAGTACATATGTAGCATCAAAACACACACACAAAAAAATATCAAGTCCATAATTATGTTTACATAAAACATCTATGAAATAATTCTGAAATAATGGATATAATTTGACTCGAGTGATAACAGTGTTACTGTTTTATCTCAAATATTGAATAGTATAAATCCTCACTGACACTGTATGTACTTTCGAACCGTTGAAAGAACAAATAATTGAAATATCCAACAGCAAAAGCAGACATCATGCATTTGTTAATAGAATGGATATTTTTGTCACTCAATTGAATTTATTAATTTGGTGATACTAAAAATAGATAGATAGGTAGATAGACATATTAAGATTAATTTCATTTACCCCTGTCATCTGAAGCTGATGTCCACAGTGGCTGTGCAAAAATAGCAATACAATATTTGAAATTATTTTTAAAATATGTTATATGGTACATTGTTTCAGCAGTGTACACTCTACAGTGTCCAAATAGCAACATAACAATGTTGAAAGTATTTACAAAATATGTGATATATACAGTAGTGTAGGCTTTAATATTCCTTAGATAAAGTACAATATCCAAAGAAATAAAATTGAAATAGACCAGTTGAACTGTATGTTTGAAATTCACCATAATAAAAATGATGGCAGGTGTCAATTTTACCATAATGCCTTGTGACCCTGAATTGGTTATATGAACTGTAAGAACAGTTTATTTTATTAATGCACCAGTCAAAGTAGACCCCCCCCCCCCGCCCCGGGCAAAGAGGGGACTTGGTGGGGATTTAGTGGCTTTTTGTCATCGAATTCTGTCCCAACCATGTCGGGAATTTGTTGGTTTTGTCATTCTGCCGGGAAGATAATGGTGATTGTTAGGGGATTGTCTGCGGCCATTTTGTACTATTTTGTACCGTTTTGTCCAATGGAATCCCCAGGTTCTACCATTTTATACCATGTGATTTGCAAAGGACAAAATGGGGTGCTTGTAAGGAAATGAAATCGAGAAGAATTTTATAAATATATTATTAATTTAATTTCTTTTCAATCTATATGTTAATACCAGTTTAATAATATGTCCATCCATCCATGAAATCTATTGTTGTGGAAAGCTCGACATTTGTTTGTTTATATTATTATTACGTTTTTATCGTTCTTTTGAGTTTCAAATGGAACAAAATATTAATATTTTAAAATGTGGACGGTTTATGCGGCGCGCAGCCCGGAGATATTTTGCAGGAGATAAATTCACGCACACGACTTACAATTATCCCCCAGGGGGTGGGGCATTTTTTTGTTTTTGGCTAGAAAATTTTGTCCCATATTGTGGGGCATTTGTCTGTTTTGGTACGGTATTCAAAGCCAATCCCACCTATATCGTGGGGTGGGGGTGGGGTCGGGGTTTACTTTGACTGGTGCAACAGGTGCATAACATCGATAAAAGCTGTGATTATATCTTACAAATTTTATGGCCTTGATGCTATGTCTTTTCAAATATTTTCTTAAGATATGTTTTCTTCTTGCAAAGAATTATGGATTACGGTCGATTTACACTTTCTTCTGTAGAGGCTTTGTGTTTTAATTTGGGGCTTTTCGAAGTTTGCAGGCAGAATAGTTGAGAGGCAGAGCGTGGAACTTGAAAAAAATCCAAAACAAAACACAAAGCCTCTACAGAGGAGAGTGGTCAATTTAAAAAGAGATATATTTAATAAATCTTAAAGTTTCTTCGCCAAACATACGTTTCATGGCCAAAGCTGAATGAATTCTTCGTATCTTGCGGCACCATCTGTCGGTTGTGAACAGTGCGGAAATGATGCGCAAGTCCACTTTCTTTAAAAAAACGAAAGTTTTCCAGGCATTCAGCCATCGGACAAACAACTTTATTCGTCAGATACGCCTCGCGAAACGGCCTTGAAAATATTTCGTCCCTTTCTCGCTCTTCGATAACACTAGCGGCTAAATCGAGGAATGCACATTTACATGACGCCATCTTGAATCATTATTAACTCGGGACATTTGTGGTTATCTTATGATAATAATGAGTTAGTAAAATGGTTATCCATTAAAGTGCTCCTTTATCCCTTGTCTACATCCGTAGTTTATTTCTATTGTCAGCTGGGAGGTAAACACGCAATAAAAAGTTTTCTTTATTAAACAGTTGAGTAGAGATATTTACTATGAAAAGTTGCCGATTTTTATGGCGAATTCAATCGTGTTCTCCGATTTCCCATCTACTGTGTACACAAATTCCTATAGTAGGATAAAGACTCGAGTTTTAGAGTATTAAAGGGCGAATATCTCCGTTCAGTTTTTCAATGAAAAAGGAAAACTAGGGCTGTTTATACAGAATTTCATGCGGAATCGAAGGGTATTTTCTGAATTTCCAGCTACCGTGCACACAACTATGTGCTCACTATACGAAAGTAAATTTGCGTGCCAGAGACCAAGTGTCGATTAATGCATACAAATCACTGTGAAAAATGTCGATACGCGAGATTTTGTATTTTCGGCCGGTTTATTTTCCTTTATATGATATCAAAAGCTATATTAAATCATTATAATATGATTATTTATGATTTAAAAGCATTAAAAGTGTATTTATTGTAATTTTTGCTGCTGTAAACTAGCTTTATTATGACCATTTTTAATAGACTATTTATAAAGTGGCAATGAGCGAGCGACAATTATCCAATCAAAATCCACTATTTTAATTTTCCCGCGAATACGTTTGTTTTGATTACATCATTCATGGTTGATACTATGACATCATAACTGAGACCCAGGTCATTGCGCGCAATTCAAGATGGCGTCGGGCAAATGTGCATTCCTCGATTTAGCCGCATGTTTCGATAACAGCGTCCGCCATTATAACGTCCGCCATCTTGAATTAGGATTTCCCAGTCGCTTCCCTCGCCGTCACATTCCCATCAATCAGCGCGCGTTGGGTAATTCAACGCGCGCGTTACTGAAGCGACTGGGGACGAGTCAGAACCTGGGTCGGGAATTTGAATTTTTCTTTTAAACACGTGTGCAGAATTCAAAATGGCGTCAATAATTAATGGATGAGTCTTCAAGTGCAAAGGAATTAACTTTGTCCTTGGTTGGCTACAAGAAAACGGCTTTGAACGATTGAAGAGAGTTTTTGAAGGAAACAAAAACTTTGAAATTCCAAAATTGCGAAATGCTGCAGCTTCCAATTCGTACATGGGGTGGGGTATTTGAACTCCAATTTTTCCCAATGCGTGGTGTATTTGGACGGGAATTACAAATATATGTAGGGAATTTGACCTGACCAAAACGTCAAAATCCAAATTCCCGGGGGTATGCCCGGGGGGAGGGATGTCAAGGTTTCGATTTGATTCGCGCATTAATTTAGCTAAATAAATCCGCTGTAATTTCCAGGGAAACTAGTTCCCGAAACGTTTAAATGTTCGCCTTTTTACGGTTCTTGTATGTCGCCATTAGGCCATCTTAATATCCGAAAACGACAAGTTTTAATACAAATTTGAGCTGTTTCGAGCAGCCATGTTTCTTGTTTATTTTGAAAGACTAGATCCCAGGCTCTCACGTAAAAACACAGGGATATTTTAGGATTTTTTAGGATATTTGCAATATTTTTATGTATTTCTTTATTCCTGCATTGTGGAGGCACCTGGAGAATGATGTAAAAGTCACAATAAATCACTTTTGAACAGTGTTAAATATTGATTTCAGAATGATCGATAATTTATTCAGTGGGGGGACTTGCTATATGCTACATATATGTTTGGATGCTACATGATGGCAGTCATATAGTGGTTATACATAGACAGTTCATTTTTAACTGCGAAAACTGTCAGAAAACCAAAATATAAAATTAATTATATGATTAATAACATATTCATATTATAAATATTATGTCTTTACGAATTGTTAGTCGTCCATCTTTACACTTACCATGCAAATGAAAAGCCGGCTAGGGAAAAACAACAAGGGCGTTGTCTATTTCATGAATTACTAATTCATTTACTATAACCGATTTCAAACGTCAGTAGAATTAGCCGAGAAAATTCAGTCAGGACACTCCTTGACAAAATTGTATTATGATTAGAATAGATTGAAAATGTACTCTTAATTTTCCATTTATTTCCTTTTACAATTCACATGATAATTTTTAGCCAGAGGCAGCTGCCCCCGTTGCCCAAACAGTGCGGGGGCAGCATGGAGGCGACAGATTGACCTTGTTCGCAAGGACAACACTTGTGTGGAAAGACATGCATTATTCACATGAATTCATATTGAACTGTGTTTCAAATTTGAAGCATTTGTAGAAAAATGAATGCTAACGATCAGCTAATGTATGCGTAGTATTTCTCTTTTTACCAAGGTTTATTGTATATTGTGCACGCGGGCGAAAAACTCATATCACTTAAATAGGTTTACCTTTTGTTTTTCGTGGTAAACATTTCGTTTTATCAAACGGAGTCAGTATAAATTTACAACATAGTTGTGTAATGACAATAAATAAAAAATGGCTACTACAAACGAAACAGGACTATCTGCTTAAACAAAGTTTTTACACTATATTTCATAACATTACACTTTGGTAATCCCTGTTTTCCTTTCCACAAATTATATGAGACAAAACCTGAGCCATTCATTCTGACAGAGAGAAATTTAAAGCTATGAAATCTTTCAAAACCCGTTGAACTCGACGGAGGAGAGTGAGGAGCTACAGCAGCTGTGTTCTAAACACGTTGCCCGCCTACTGTATCGAGCGGCAAAATGTCATGGTTTGAATGGTTGCTGCAATTCTGCAACTAACTAAACTCTCTTTCTGAATTGTTCGAGCTGGTCACAATGAATCTGACAGCAGAGCATGAGTTACCGATCATGTACTGACAGGCATTACATTTGCGTGCAAGCTAGAACTCAGATTGTAAGCCGATAAATACAGCGTCTATAATCAGCAATAAAGCAGAAAACGATACATCGTGTTCAAAAACACGCGAAGCTACATGAACATGCATGGTAGCATCATCGCATGGGAAAGAGAAATGGTACCACATGCACCTACGTAGTGCATTCATACAATCATACATCACTCGAATTTCACTATGGTCACTTTAAATGAGAACGAAGAGCTACAAAGGATTATTATGAATTAGTATATAATTACATAGGTGATTATTGAAAATTCTCCACGCTGATTGGTTGCCGTTGAGATGATTATAACGCGATAATCACCTAAGCGATTTTCGAATTGGTGGCCGAAGCCGTTTTTCAATTAAATGATGAAGAAATGTGTTTTTTTTCCCAAATAATCACCTATGAAATGATACTAAAACAATTATTCACCTCAGGCTCGGTAATTATCGTGAATAAAAATTATATTCACCGATAATCACCTCGCCTTCGGCGAATAATTGTTAAATATTGGATGCTATCAAAGAAGCCATGAAGACTCGCTGTGAATGCAGCAAATAAGGAATACAATAGCTCCAATGAGGTTGTATACAGACGAACTGGGTATATGGAAAATGAGCTTGAAGAAGGAATACGAAATTCCTATCAGAGACGTTACAGTACCTTGAAAAAAAGTTGCCAACACAGCAAATATCAAGAAAGACTTCCTAAAATTGACAAGTTGTCCCCTACCTAACCAGAGCTACCTAGCAGGAGTATCAGGGTTTCTAATTCTGAGAAAGTGGAAAGGAGGGGAGTCCCCTACCCTCTCCCTCTCTTCCCACAATCCCACTTTTCAGCCCTGTCTACTTTATACATATTATTTTTTACTAATGCTCAACTCCAGTAACATATATTGAGCTCATTGTCACGCAAAATGTCACGCATACGTGGGAATCGCGCGCGATTGTTTTGAAATTTGAACTTTTCTTCAAATCAACCAATGACTTTACGTTTCAGTGACTGAATGACCAATTGGGAACAAGCATGCCAGTAAACAGGAAGTTGAGCAATTTTTTACCAAATGAATTGATCAATCAGGGTTGGCAACTTGGCCTTTTTGCAGCCAAATAACTCGATTTTGGCTTTTTCATAACATTTCTTGTTTGGCTTTGAAAAAAATGTTTGGCCTTTTGGCTCTATTTTGGCTTTTTTATCAAGTGACAGGAATTTTCACTATTTTTTAGTATAATTTATTATGAAGGAATGTTAACATAAAGCAACATGACACATGTGAGAATATAAGAACTGTGTGTCAGGGCCTTTTTTAAGGATTTTCCCGTGGGGGGGCATTTTTTGAAAAGGGACCTTTCTGCGAGATAATATATTAGAGGGGGATAGCAATGGCTGAAAGCCACGTGTGTGGCAAATATACCACGCATGAATGGGGGTCTGGGGGTGTACTCCCCCAGAAAAGTTTTGAAATTTGACTCCCGGAAATGTCATTTCCTGCATTCTGAGCATCCAAATTTGCTCCAAAATTTATCCTAACTATACTTGTATTTGAAATAAATAAAGGAAGAAACGCACAAAAAGTAAAAAAAAATTTAACCATCATTTATCATTACTTATTAGAGGAGGATAGCAATGGTCAGGTGTGTGGGGGTGTACTCCCCCAGAAAATTTTTGAAATTTGAACCACGGAAATGCCATTTCCTGCATTCTGAGCATCCAAATTTGCTCTAAAATCTATGCTAACTATAGTTGTATTTGAAATAAAAGATGGAAAAATGCACAAAATTAAAAGTAAAAAAGAATATTAACTGTAATTTATCATTACTTATTAGAGGGATAATCCCAAGAAAATTTTTGAAATTTGAAACCGTGAAATGCTATTTCCTGCATTCTGAGCATCCAAAAAATAAAAAAAATATTAACAATAATTTATCATGGCTTAGTGGTAAAAAAGTAACAATTTAAATCGATTTTGTTAAACAAGAACAAAGGATAAAGCCTAAAACTTACTTTCCGTTTATCTATTTGTTAATCTTCGCTGGATTGTTTGTATAATTTTAGGAAAAAGGGACTTTTCCTGGGG